AATTGTGAGCTTCACAGTACTTTCCAAGTCTAGTTCAATGTCTGGGGGATGGCAGCCCGCCCCCCACGCCCCCCATCAAAGGTGGTCATGTTCATCTCTGCATTGTCCTGTCCTGGGGCTCATTTCTACAAGGTGGGATTTTATGGTGGTTACAAGCCCGGCCTTTGGAGGCTACCTATTGTTCGAATCCAGCAGTGAGACTCTGGACAAATGACTTAACTTGTCTGAGCCTTGCTTTCCTCATCTGTAAAATGGGCATAGTAATGGCACCTCACTCATATTTCTGAGGAATAAATGGGCAAGTGCACATGAGGCGCAGTGAAGGGCTCCTGCCGCGCTAAGAGCTGTAGACGCATGTGCTCTCGTCACTTCCGCATGTATGTGTCTGTCTCCCTCACAAGCACTGGCAGGTGTCTCACTCCTGTCTGCAGACCCAGCACCCGCTGTGGAGCCTCACACACAATGGATTGTCCATCAGATGTTTCATAAGAGAATGAAGGAATCTGTGGTCCTGGGAGAGGTGGCAGGTTAAGTGGATTCAACCTGATCCTAAGTGTGGAAAAGAGATGAGGAGCATGTCATGCCTCAGCAGCATGGGGTCCCCAGAAGATGGGCTCCAGCGAGGACCAGAATGGGGCCCCCATTTGACCTCCTAAGACAGGCTGCCCCCAAGGTAGACCACAAAACCCAACTTCCCCTCCACATGGATCTCACACACATCTGCTCTTCTTCCCAAATCTTTGCATGTTCATTCATTTAATGGATCTACATTATCAGCAGTGTGGGTGGAATTGAGTGAGGTGCTAGGGATAGAGCAATGAAGAGCAGTATGGCTGGTCTGTGTCCCCATGTTACATGCCGCCTAGTAGGGGAAACTAGGAGGAATCGAGTAAATGGCTATTACTAAATGTGCCAGAGTCTTTGATGTGCCCTCAGGATACAGATCTACAGCGCAGGGTTGACTTGGAGAAGCAGCCATAGGGCCCTTGCCAAGGTGGCGACATTTTAGGACTGGAAAAGGGACGATGGTGTCACTAGCTGAAGGGTCTCCAAAGCCAGACACCTCAGTGCCAGCCTCAATTCATTTCTCCATCACTCCCCTCATCCCGTCTCTTTCTAGAGGAAAGAATTCGAGGTGGGGCAGCTAGACAGTAGGCTCTGGCTGGGCCCGCGGGCCCTCAAGAGAGGCCGGCAGCACCTCGGACAGCGGACGCGGGCGGTCGGGGTGGGGCGGGGCAGGGGGTGTGGCGTTCATCTGTCTCTCCTGTGCCAGGCCGGGCTGGGCTGCTGTGGGGTCAGAAACACCAATACCAGCCACTTGCCCACCGTCATCAATTCCTTTACCAGCTTCAGAGCACCTTGGACAAGTTACATCCCCTGTAAGTGCCCCCATTTCCCCTTCGACACATTTGCGGTGGCACTGGCAGACTTGGCTTTCAAGGGCCCTTCCAACTCAGCGAATCCATTCTGGAACAGAGGATGTGACTGCACGCAATTCAGCAGAGCTGAAAGCTGAACCCCTGGGACCTTGGTGCCCTGGGGGGGGGTTCATGACAGTGATTTCCCACTGATCTATGGAGAAGTGAGGATGGAAGAGAGGACATTAAATGTGTTCATGTTCATTTGGGCCAAATACTGTGCTAAGCCTGGTTGCTTACAAAGGAATTTAAAACACAGCACTTGCTATCAACCTTCCGAGTGGCAACTTGGACAGATCTCTTCCCACCCTTGGGCCGTGGCTCCCCATCTGTGAAGAGAGGTGGTTGAATCCAACCCCCTCCCATACAGGCATTTTGCTATTTCTACATCGATCTGAAGTCGGATAACGAAGGACTGACTTCTAGCAGGGGGCCTGCTGGGCCTGCCAAACCCTTTGTAACTCACATCCATTGCAGGTTCAGAGAGGACGAGGTACTTGTCAACAGTCACACAGCTTAAAAAAAAAAAAAAGACACAGCTTGTAAGCAGTGGAGCCTGGATTTGAACCCCTGACTGCAAGACTGCAATTATAGTTTTCCCCCTAAGCCCATATCCACAAGAGGAGAGACTGACTAAGGAGGCTCTCATAATGTACAGAATCTCAGAATAGGAAGGGCAGGCAAAGCTCATTCTCCAGGCTTAGGAATTACTCCATCCTCCTTCTGAATGATTTCTTCAATTGTTATAAAGGGTCAGCTCAGGACTTGCTGTGTGCCTGGCCAGGTGCGGGGGGCCAAGGCTCCGGGATGAAAGTAGACCCAGTCCCTGCCTGCACTGGGTCCCCAACACAAAGTCACAAGCCCAGGGAGAGAGAGATCAGCAGCGTGTCGTGGGGTCACGGGGAGAGTGAAGCCTGTGCCTGTGAAGTTATGGGATGCTTCCCAGAGGGGGAGCATTTGAAAGACGAGTGGGGGATTCAGTAACCAGGAAACAGCAAGGAAGGGCATCGGGTTGAGGGACCAGAATGTGTAAAGCCATGGCACAGAGTTATGGACCAAGGATGCAGGTTGGGAAGTAGAGGTCAGAACTGGCTAGCCAAGAGATGCTACTTGGCTCACAGATGGCTGTAAATGTTTTAAAAGTCTCAGTTGTCAGTATTGAAAATCTGGGAGATTTTATTTCGAAATTCTGATTTTCAGTTTCTCTGAACTTTTTGGAAGATCTGAGCCCACGTTCTCCATGGCAGCAATTGGTCAGAGCTGAAGAATGGCTGCTTTGCCCATTTATGTCATTTGGTTAGGCCTCGTAGACATTTTGAGGTGGTATTCTCCAATCTACAGCATCAGGTGCTTCCCCCTCCCCTGCCGCCACCCCCAGCTAGTGACTAGCCCAAAAGTAAAGATACTGGAAGATGGGAAGTGCATGGGGGTTGTGGTGGCCTGGGGGCACTCCTCAGGCGGAGCTCCCTACTCTCCACTGTAAATGGCTCTGGGCCCCAAGCCCCTCCCGGGAGGCCGAAGACAAAAGGAGGGTCCCAGTTCCTCAGTGACAAATCCACTTCTGGATCCAGGGAACAAGCAGCCTGATTTTAACTCAAGGAAGGATGGGGATCATGGCCTTTCCTTTTCCATCAAAATGCATGATCCCTTTCTGTTCCAGCAGACTCTCCGGGGTTCGGCCTGTTGACAATGGTGAGAGCAGGCTACAATCACTATTAAATATTCATTTAGAAAAACAATCAAACCTTTCTGCACATCAAATATTTGCTTCTAGATTTTTTTTTTTAAATCCAAACACCTATATCTTGGCAGCATTCACTTCCAAAGAATGCAAGTTTCAGTTGCTGAGGCCAAAACAGACATTTTTCCTGAGGCCAAATGGTTCCAGAATGTTTGCCAAATATTTCCCACCCTCTTAAAAATACAATAAAATTAGCAAAGCACTAACATTAAAGAATATTAAAACCAGAAAAAACATCAAAGCACAAAACCCCACAACCACCCCCTAAATTGGCACAACCGTCCTCCCCTTTGCCCGTGGCCTTCCAGCCCTTGCCATGAGGGAGACTGTCCCAACAGTCAGAGCTGCTTTGGGGGTGGAGGAAGGGTAATGAACTGTCTGTCTGTAGAGGTATGCAAGCAAGAGCTTAGCTTCAGCAGGAATTCCCAGCTCAGTGGGGCTTGCTACAAAGAGCCTGTCTGACCCTAAAGGATGACAAGAATGTCTGAGCCTCCATTAGAGCTCAGAGTAGAAAAACTGATGAATGTCTTTAATGAGGAAATTCAGTCCAGCTGCTTATCCTTGCTGAGTGTCCATTCCCTCATCTGTAAAATGGGTGCTAGCTACCTCCCAGGCTTGTGAGGCTAGAATCAAGTAGGCTATAGACCGTGAATGCTCAGTGTCTGTTGGTTTTCTCTCTGGCCCCCCAGCCCACCCACCATGCCAGTCTCTCCCTCGGTTTTCCTCTCTGCTTCCACCTCCAATGAGCCATCGCGGAGCATCTGCTGAGGGTCCAGCCATCATTCTCCTTGGCTCATGGTCTGATGGGGGCCACGCTAGGGAGTGCCACTGGGAGGGGTGGCTCCAAGATGAGGGAAACAGCCAATGGCCTCAAAGAGACATTGGGGGGCTCCCTGTAGGAGGAGAGACGTGAGCTGGGCCTTGAGGGTGATTCACAGTAGGTACAAGGACATGTTAGCAGGTCGCAGCGTGGGGATGGACAGGGTTCCCGCATGTCAGAGATGTTGAGGCATTTGAGTGAAGGCAGGGAGTGGGCTTCCGAGAACCCAGGGAGAGAGGAGTGAGCTTGTTGGATGGGGACCAGCTCCCTCCCTTCTGCTCGCCCAGGCCTCTGGGAGCAGTGGGGCACTGCCAGCGCGCTGCTCGGAGTCACTTTGGGCACACCCGTGCACTCATGCTTAGTCCCTGGGGTCACGTAGGGACCGGGGCCCGGAGTTGTGTATGCTTGTTCTTCTCTAACCCTCCCCCAGCTCCTTGAACACGTGGAGACGCAGTGTGGCTCAGGGAAGCCTGGTGGGGTGGTGGGTGGCGGTTACGGGCTGGCTGGGCAGGGTGGCTCGGGAGATGGGTGGGCAGGGAGAGGGGCAGGAGGCTGGAGGGTCGTGGATGGGTGCGCGGTGGTGACTTAGTGGATGTGGCAGCAGGTTGGGAAGTGGGCAAGTGGGCGGGTGAGGTAGAGGGTGGGTGAGTGGGAGGCTAGGAGGATGTTTCCAGTTGCAGGCAGATGTGGCTGTGGGAAGTCGGGCTGCTGGGGGTGTTAATGGGGCAGGAGGAGGATGGATGGTGTGTTGACAGGTGGGAGGTGCATGAGTGGGTTTGGGACTGTGGGTGGGAAGACCGTGTCTGAGTGGGGTGGTGGGCACCTTGGCCAGTGGGAGGTGGATGGCAGTGGGTGTTGGCGGGTGTATGTCGAGGTGGGTGGGTGATGGGGGCATGGACGGTGAGCTGGTGAGTGAGGCGGGAGGTAGAGAGCTGGATGTAGGTTAACAGAGATGGGTGGGCGATGGATGCGTGGCTGGAGGAGGGCGGCCGTGCGTACTGACCACCCCGTCTTTTGGCAGGACACCATCCGCACATGGGAGAGTCCTGGCCCCGGGGCTCTGCACAGGAGGTGCCAGAGCTGAACCGCCAGTGCTGGGTGCTGGGGCACTGGGTGTGACTGAGACCCAGCGCGGCCCCCGGACCTCAGGCCGCCCGCCAGAAGACTGCTCTGGTGCCCCTGGAAAGCTGGCCTGTGTGCTGGGAACTCAGCCAGCCTGCGCGGGAGACACAGGCCTGCCCTCCCCACTGCCTCCTGGGGCTCAGGGCTCTGGACATGGAGCTGGGGTGGCCTGACGGAGTGCACAGGGCTGCGCATGGCGACTCTGGGACAGCAACCCCTGACTCTTGCCACCGTCACATGCAGCACCCTGTCCGGTGCAGCTGGGATACCACGGAAAGCCGGCCAGGAAGTTCAGGGCGTGTCCGGCGGCGCGGAGCCCTGCACGAGGCAGGGAGCGGGTGGGGCTTCCTGGCGTTGGCACCACAGGGTGGGGGGGGCACACAGCAGGCACACAGCAGGGGCACAATAAATGCTTGTTGAACCTGTTTTCTTGCTATGTGTGGAGGCCAGTTGCTCTCTGGGCTGTGGCTGCTCCCCCAGGGCCCCACCCTATCGGGTCCTCAAGGAGCCTGAAGGTGGGACAGCCTGAGTGTGCTGGGGTCAGGGCCAGACACTGAGGTGCCGGAAGGAGGGAGCCCAGAGTGGAAGCTGGGTCTGGGGTGTCAGGGTCAGGGCGGAGCCAGGCTGGCAGGCTGCCTTGGATTCCAGAGGGTGGGCAAGGTAAGGATGGGACAGGCAGGTGGGGAATTTGGGAGACAGGCCCTCAAGCCCAGGCCTTAAGCTGTCCTGACCCCATGGGGACCCTTGACCCTGTGTCTACAGCTACCTTTACATCAAGTTCTGGGGCTTAGGTGCCTGGGGGAAACATCCCTATTATAAAGATGAGGGAACTTAGGGTCACAGAGATGAAGTAACTTGCCCAAGATCACAGAGCTAGTAAATGGCAGAGATGGGGTCAGACCCAGGACTTTAAGAAGCCTCATCCCGTTCCAGAAGGATTTCTAGAGCTTTCCCCCAAGTAGAGAATGTTCTTCATCCGTCCGTAAGTCCATCTATCATCCATCCATTATTCATCCTCCATCATCCGTCCATCAATCCTCCATCATCCTCACATCCATCCTCCATCATCTGTCCATCATCTATCCATCCATCCATCCTCCACCCACCCATCCATCCATGCATCCGTCCATCCACCCATCCATCACCAGCCCATCTATCTCCATCCTCCGTTCATCATCTATCCATCCATCCTCCATCCATCATCCATCATCCATCCATCCATCATCCACCCATCCATCATCCACCCACCCATCCATCATCCACCCACCCATCCATCATCCACCCATCCATCATCTATCATCCATCCATCCTCCACTTACCAGATATCATTCTTCCTTGTGTCAGATGTCCGTCCATCTTCCTTCTGCGTATGACCCATCCTCATTATTTAACTATCTGTGTATCCATCTATCTGGTGATACAGTTCATTGTGCCCCTACTATGTGCCAAGCACTGCAGTAGGCACTTGAGATAGGATATTAAGCCATCCAGATGGATGTCTGTCCTCACAGATGGGCATGACAGAGAACTAGACAGATAGATGGTTGTTGTATAGTGTGTGGCGTGTTTGGTGCCCGGCTCTGGGGCCAGGCAACCTGGGTTTAGATTCCAGCACCTCCCCGAGACCTTAGGCAAGTGACCTAACCTCTCTGTGCCTCCTCTCCATGGGCCATGGCAACAATCAGTACACCTACCTCTTACAGCTGTCCTGAGGGCTGAGCTCCGACATGCGAGGCATTTAGAACAGAGCCTGGCACAGAGTGAGTGCTTTGTTGGTGTTTGCTCTTATCTTGATGGGGCAAGTCAGGGGCTGTGGGATCCCAAAGGCAGCACCTGCTGGGGGAGGGAGGAGGAGGCGGTGGTCAGGAGGGCTCCTTTGGGAAAAAGATATTTAAGCCAAGACATGGAGGTTGTCTAGATGTCAGGCAAGAGGAGAGAGAGGAAGAAAGTCGGAACATTACAGGAACCTTACCACAGTCTAGACAGCAGGTGTGGAGAGAGGGGAGGGTCACAGGGGGTGAGAAATGCGGCTGCAGAGGAGGTCGGGGGAGCCAGGCCAGAGGGACTCAAAGCCTCCCTAGGAAGCTTGGACCTACCCACAGTCCACAGCCCCGCTGTGCATTTCTAGGAGGATCTCTGCCGCCGTATCCCTCCCATGCTCAGAGAGAGAGAAGACGGTGATCTGGTTCACAAAGTGGCCCCAGGGATGGGACAACGAGGGCAGAGTCAGGAGCCAGTCACGAGGGAAAATCAACAGACTCATGTAGGGGGAAAGTCGGCAAAGTCTCTCAGATTCCGGGCTTGGGTCAGGGGCGGGTCCAGATGGCTTGAGTCTCAGGTGCCAGGGGACACCCACGTGGAGGTGTGTGCTCATTCATTCACGCATGCATTGATTTATCAAGAGATTCATTAATCCATTTTCCATTCAGTCAGTAAATATTGTGCACCTACTGTGTGCGGCGGGAGATGGGCCTGGGAGGGGGATTGGGGTCCACTGACAAAGATCTCGCATGTCAGGACCAGGAGTTTGGGCTTTGGCTCCTGGGCAGGACGTGGGGCTGGGCTCCCAGGGCCCCGGGCATCTTGGGGCTCTTTCTCCTCAGCTGGGGTCCTTCTGTAGTTGGCGGCTGGACCTCCAAAGCCCACGACATGATTTTAATCAACACATGGGCACAATTTTAATCTATTTTAATAGTTGTGTTTATGTAAATGTGTATTAGGAAAAAATGTATAATGGGCACATTAGTGTCATGATTTCACCGACGCTGTTGCTTAGAACGAAACCAAAATAGGCATTTAAGTAAAAAGACAAAGAGCTGGCTTGAAGAAAAATATTCAATAAATAATCGTGCAAGTGGTTTGCGATTACGGTATGTGGACGGCTCAGGCAAAGGCCTTTCTTAGCCCCTGCATAAGTCCATCCATCAGTACCCCCGTCCCTCTGGGCACCTGTCGGGCAGAGGGTGAGCCCCCGCTCTCCATGTCATGGAGCCGACAGCAAGAAGGCTGTTCGTGAGGTGAAAGGAAGCATCGCCAGGCAGGCCCGAGCATGGTCCCAGTGGCTCCCTACTGAGTGTTACTGGGAGGGGGGTCTTGATGCGGGGGGCAAATGCATCTGGGAGGAGGGAAGGCCACCCGGGCTGAAGGCAGGAGGTCCCTGGGTGTGCACGTAGAGGTCTGCCCCGAGCACCCGCACCCAGCATCCCTGTGTCCACGTTCTCCGGACTCCTGTACACACACCAACCCCAACAAGCCTGAGTTAGCGCTTGGTGCTAAGTGTGTGTGCGCCCACTGGCCCTGAGCCCACGCTCCCAGGGCGTGAGCTGGTCCTGGACGCGGACTGGCCTGCACGCGCTCGGTGGGCCCGCAGTGGGGGCTCTGCCTTGTTGGCTCACACCACGTCCTCTCCCCGGGTGCAGGGGGCCGTGGGGACCCTAGCTAAGGGCTAATGGGCAGGCCCAGGCCTCAGGAAGTGGTGGGGCTGACCTCCCTCCTTGGCTGGCGGATGTGATGGGCGGTCATCCCTGCCACCCTCACCGAAGCCAAACTCTTCCGGCCACACACTTGTCTCCCGCAGGTAATGGAAACGTCAACTTGATTCATGGGCATCTGTTTGCTGCAGCCAGGCCTGACTTGTCCTGCTGGGGAGGCTCATCACCCAGGAGGAAGTGAGGACAGAGGAAAACATCAGTGGCCATGGAGTTAGTTCAAATCCTGAGACCAAATCACAGACCTGCAGTGGGCCCCATTCGCCCCTGAACCGCTCACGGAGACTCTCCTGTGTGCCAGGCACAACGGGGCACCCGAGCCACCACGGTGAGGTGGGAGGACATGATCTTCACCCTCACCGGAGTTTGTATTCCAGCGAGGAGACCGAGACTACTCAAATCATTCAAACAACAAAAATATCACTTCCAAGTGTGAGAAGTGCTATGTAAGCGAACAAGGGAAGGCCTGATTGACACTGGAACGGTGAGGGTGGGCCTCTCAGGAAGGGCCATGCAGGAGGGACTGAAAGAAGCAGCAAGGGAGTCTGGGCAGAAGCCACGGCGTGTGCAAAGGCCCTGGGGTTGAGAGGAATGTTGTGTGTGGCACTGTGACAGGACACAGTGCTTGGAGCTCAAGGTGAGGGTATCAAGTCTGCTGCTGAGCAGTTGGTCTTCAGGGGTTGGAGCTGGTGGGGCCTGGGGGTGATGGCCAGGAGTGCGGCCTTCGCCTGGAAGGTTCCACAGGGAACCACGGGCAGGAGGATTTTTAGAGGAGGACATGGCAAGTTCCTCCCGGTTGTGTGGAGGGAAGGCCTGGGAGATGGGGTGCAAGGCAGAGGCAGGGTGACCAGAGAGGGGGCTGCAGCAGGTCCTGGTGGGACTTAGAGGCTTAGGCTGCGGCGGCACCAGGAATGAGCTAGGTCGCCCCAGTGTGGCTTGGGGACGGGTGAGGGGACAAGGCACACCGGGGCTTGGCTAGCTGTTCTCTGAGGCTCCTGTCTGGGCTTTGATGCCGTGCAGACGGGGACACCTTGGGCCACTTGGGGCCACAGCAGGAATCAGGAGAAGTGTCATCTGAGCGGATGAATTAGAAAAGTGCCTGACCTCAAACCATAGGAGCCACGGCCTGGGGCACACGGCGCTGGAGTTTAGCGCCACTCACCCTTTCTCCAGGGCTGCGGCCAGTGAACAGATCGCACCACCGCACGGGTGGACGGGACTGAGGACAAACTCAGCCCAGCCGGGGACCATCAGTCATGAGGGAAAACCAGTCTCCTCTGTGTGGGGATTTACTGAGTGGACAGACAGGAGATCCCGGTGCAGGACCTCTGCTCTGTCCCCAGCACGGCCCAGTCCGAGACACCCCGGTAATTGCTTTGGGGGCCACATTTCGTCCTGGACTGACACCGGCCGAGCCTCTGCCTTACGGGGAAGCTGGTGGCCGGGCTGCCGCCAGGACGGGCCGGGATGCAGGGGTTGGGGGGCGCCCTGAGACAAGTGGTCAGGGGACTTCCATGTGGGAGAAGTTCCACCACATGAAGCCAGGCTGGTGAGCCCCTGCCCCAAGCACCCCTCCGTGCCCCCCCCGGTCTGATCCCCCCAGGAACGGCCAGGGTGAGTGTGGGCGGCCTGGGGGGTGCAGGCTGGGCTGCGGAGCGAGGCGAGCGGCCTGCAGGGGCTGAGACCCCACCTCTGCTCTGAGGTCGGTTCCCCTCATGGCCCAACCGGAGGAGGCTGGGGGGTCGTCCCAAGGGTCAGGAGGGGCCGGTGGAAGGCGGGGCCGGGTGCTCCGGGGAGGAGCCCATGGTCGGGAGCTGGGCAGCCTTGGAGCCCCAACTTAGCCCCAAGGACACCGCACACCTGGGGCCCTATCTGTCGC